AATTTTATTTTACAAATTTTCTATGATAAAACGTAAGCCATAAAGGGTCTTATGCTGAGGACCAATCAGAATTGCATTGTTATGATAAAAAACTATTCCAGCTGCCTTGTGTAGAGTGGATATAGGGAGGTTCCTTATAAGTTTTGGCCATAGAGTAAGTAACCAGCTTTGGTAATTGTGGAAATTTTGGAAATACAGGTAGTTGAAAGAAGAAATTTTAAATCACTGCTAGAAAAAAAAATCTGTGCTAACTATTTGTTATATTTCTTCTCAGCATTGTTTTTCCATACAAAATTAAAATCACATTGAACATAGTTTGACACCTTGTTGCTTTTTAAATAAATGTTACATATTCTTTTCCTATGTCATTAAATATCTGTTTCAACATAATTCACACTGTTGCATAAACCATGATGAATTCAACCAATCCAGTGTTGTGTGGGGTCCTTGGGTTGCTTCTTAGTTTTTCACTGTTATAAGTAATGCTGCTCTGAACCTAAAACTTTCATTAAGGTATATTCTTGGAAATTAAATTACTGGGTAAAAGGATATGAACTGTAATGCTTTGGCTACATATCATCAAGTGATTTCCCAGAAAGGCTTTACAAATTTGTGCTCCCAATAGGGACAGAGTGCCCCTCTCACCACATCCTTGCCAACACTGAGTAGTATAGTATGGGGTTTTTCTTTGTTTGTTTTGTTTTTTAAACAGGTAGGAAGTGGGATGGGGAACTAATATTATTATATATTTTATAATTATATAATATTTATAGCATTTGATTTTTTAAAAATCATTTTCTAACCATATCATTTTAGGAATTTAGTCTAGGACAGGTCTGCCAATTAAGTTGTTTTCATTTTTCCAAGACCTTAAATATTATAGTCAGCTTGCCTAAAGCAAGCATTATGAATACTATCTAGGGAACTGTTTATTACTCAGGAATTATTTACAATCCCTAGTCGTACCCTCTGAATCTATTGAGTGTCCTGAAATTTTTTTTCTTTTTTTCTTTTTCTTTTCTTTCTTTCTTTTTTTTTTTTTAAACTTTCATTGGCTCAGCTACCAAAGTAACTCATACACTTTTAAGAAGCAAGCCTCCATGCATTGGTTCAAGGACCAGGATGTGAGTGCTTCTGGAAGGCACTGGATTTATAGTAGAAAGCCTTGGCATGGTTTTCCTTAAGATCTACAATCTTAACTGATCCCTAACTGTTACAGCCTTGAAATTGGTTTCCTTCTATTGTACATACACTGTATGACTTTTTATACCAACTAAGCTTGTAGTACTTTGTGCTTTAATTTTTTAAGGGTCAATCATGTGAATTATAATGACAGTAGCCACCTGTTTATAGGTGGTTTAATTGAAACTTGCTTAATTGAATTTTATTAAAAACTTGATTTATGGGCTTTTAAGTGAGATGCCATACTTAGAGAACTTAGAACAGTATTTCACACATGGAAAGCACTCATAAATTTTAGTTGTCTTAATTGTTAGAATTCCCTCAAGAAGTGACATTTAACCAGGTCCAGAGGAACCCTCATGGCAGAAGGACTGGAACATCCGAAAGTTCTGAGGGGCCAAAGAGCCTGTAGCCCTATGTGGCTCCAAACAAGCCAGTGAGGGAAAGTCAGCCCTAGGCGGGGGCTTAGCTTTCAGAAGAAGTTTAGGCTTCACCGGAAGAGCAATTGAGAGCCCTAAAGGGTCATAAGCTGAGGACAAATCATATTTTCATTGTTATGTTAAAAAACGATTCCATCCACCTATGGAGAGTGGTTACAGGGAAGTTCCTTACAAGGTTTGGCCATAAAGTAACCAGCCTTGGGCATGTTACTTAAGCTAAGTGTGTCTTAGTTTCCTCATCTCCAACACAGATTTAGTAATAGTACTCACACCATAAACTCTGAGTTGTTATTTATTTGTCATGTCGTCAGAACAGCTTCTGTTCCTTTAAATGTTGGTTAAATTTAGAATGCTGGAAGTTAAGCACTTCCAGTACTACCCTCCCTCCAAATAGCTGACCTCCACCATGGAAAACCCAGACTGGCCCTGACTCTGAGTCCTTGGCCGAGCCTAGTTTCCCAGCTTCCTTGGAACCTCCCCATGTGGGTTCCATGGAACCTCTGGGGTGGGAGCCTCCACATGGATGTGGCGTATGCTGGCCAGGCCTGGCTGGCCTTTCCTTCAATAGAGCACCTGCATGGCACTTCATACAGTGGGTCAGGCCGCAGTTAGCCACTTACACCATGTAGGCTTCCTGCTGGGGTGACCTACACAGAACTCGCCAGTACCCACCGATCCGCAAAGGATGGCACACTGGCTGTAATTTACCTCCCCTGGCTTTGCCAACCTGACCATGACTGCTTACTGTCACCCAGATGGCACTTGGTATTTGAAACCAACTGGGCTGTCCTCAGCTCCTGTTTGCTTTCTGTATTTATAAAGGACAGCTTTGAACTGAAAGAGAAAAAAAGGCAAATAATATGCAAATGGCTTCCATCCAGCCTTTTCTTCTTCACTCTAGTAAGGAGCCTAAGTATTTTATACCTTACAAAAAGCTTACTTTAACTCTATAAATCTCTGTTTTTCTCCCTCCTCAGTGACTTACTTTTGTAAAGTCATGTGATACATGTTGCTGGGTTTTTTAAAAATCATCAATATCTTTTGCTTAGTAGTTAGTAACGTTTCAAAGCTACTTTCTTAACTTGCTATGAATTTTTCTAGTTTGAAAATAGTAAATGGGATCACATGCAGGGACAGCAGTTTTCAACCTGCATGACTTAGTAGTGTTGCCTGGAGTCCTGTTTTGAGGATCATGAGGCAAATCTGAGCTCACAGGGAGAAAATATCATGATCTACAAGAAAGGGTGCACACCAGATCCAGGGTAGAATTCTCCCTGGGAGGAAGGACGGCTGTAGAACTGGTCGGGGAAGGGAGAGATGGCACAGAAGGCCTCCTCAGTGTTTCTAATGCTTGTTAAATGTGGTGATGGGTGAAATTTGTCATATTATTTTATATCTTTTTGAATATGTGAAACAGTTCATGATAAAATTGAAATGATGCCATCGACCCTGGGCATTACTGGTAAGTTTGTTGTCCTGGTCTGGTGGGGCCTACCCTTGACTGAGGTAATACAGCCCCTTCCCTAGATTCGATGGTCCTCCAAGTATTTGTATATGGACTCATACACTTAGATGCACATACGCGAGTTTATTTTCTCATAATGTGTACTTACAAAATGCAATACAGAACTTAAAAAAGAATAAAAACGTATATTCCCTGTGAATATACTGAAAACTACGGGGTTGTGCACTTTAAAGAGTAAATTTTATAGTATATGAATTATATCTCAATAAAGCTGCTGTTGAAAAATAAAATGTTTCCAAATACAACACTTTTTCAAAAAGTAAATATTTTTTTCTGATTATAATAGTAGTACACATACATAGGAAACTGGAAAATGTACTAAAGTAGAAAAAATATATATATACCCATAATAGCACCACCCCAGAGACTGTTAACATTTGGTGATAGTTTCTTCCATTATTTTTTCATTTCCATGTATGGATTATTTTTATATTGATGAGATTGTTTCTGAGTATTAAAATTTGCATCTTCCTTTCTTGATTTAACATTGTAATATAACTATTTAAAATGCTCTCATAAATTCTTTATAAACATTTTAATGGTTTACAATGGGCCACTGTATGAGGGTATTATAAATTAATCAGTTCCTGCTGTTAGCATTTTTCACTATGAGAAATACCATTGTAGGGAACATCTTTGATTATAATCCCCATCATCATATTTGGATTTATTTCCATAAATGTGTGCCAGATACATTAAAAGTTCTGAAATCTTTTAAAAACCTTTAATATGTATTTCCAAGTTGCTCTTTATAAGGCAGGCCTCTACTAACCTATAAGGCACCATTGTTCAGGTTGTAAACCTCTGGGTAGATATAGCCCTGGCAGTCTAAGCTTGGGGTGGGTAATGGGCTGTGTTACACCCACTCACACCCCCTGGGGGTGTCTCAGTGTGGTTCACAGCAGCAGGATGTATGGATACCCATTTATATTTTAATAGCTCACACAGAGTACCTGTTTCAGAGAACCCAGATTAGCATTTGGTATTGAGGTCTGTAAAAATCTTTAATTCATTAAGTGAAAAATGGTATGTTGATGTTTTAATTTACCCTTTGATTTTATGAGTGTGAACATTTATTGGTGTGTTTCTTGTGCATTTGTATTTTCTCTTATGAATTATCTGTTCATACTCATTTTTTATGTTCTTAGTGTTTGTCATGTATTTTGCACATTTATTTATGATCTGTCATTATTTGTTAATAATATTCTTCCTAGTTTGTGCTTATATTATTTTATGAAAGCACAAGGTTTTATTTCTATTTAGAAAAACCAATAATCTGCCCCCTTGATTTTCAGTTTACAAAGTTCTTCCCTATTCAGACACCTGAAAAGTACTATGTTTCCTTCTCATTTATTTCATTTTTACATTGATCTCTTTACATTGATGTTTAACTTTACATTAAATTCAAGTATATTTTGATGAATAACATAAGGTACGAATCTAATTTTTTTTCAAATAGCGTTCCCATAACACCATTTATTGCATCATCTTTCCTTAGTAATTTGTGATATGTTCTTTGTCATGTGTTAAATTATAGCTACTTTGATAAAAATATTTTGCTGAGTTTAAAAACAATAAGTATCACATTCTTAATATGGTTAAAGCACTGTTCATTTATTACATATTTTTGCTTCACTGTTAACATTTGTTTAAATTGACCTATTTTTAATGTGATAATTTTAATGCTAACTTATTTCTTCTTTATACCATGAATCCAGGTGAATTGGGTATTTGGACAAATTAAGATTACTCATTTCACAGAGATGAGTGCATTTACAGATGACCTAGATTCTAGGCATTATACGTAATAGGCACTTGCAATCGCTTTTAATAACTTTGTTTATGTTTTTAAGGGGTTGTTATCTCATATACTTTCGGCATTCAGATTTGATGCAAAAGAAGTTGGTCTTTTTACTCAAGGTCTTGGATTTGCACCTGCAGATTACTGTCCTGGTTTGCTTAAAAATGTGAGTATTTTTAATTTATGAGTATTGAAATTTTTGATGCTTAATGTACCATTGGCAAAAAGGGTAAATGGAAATATCTCACTCTTCCCAGGAGAGATGTTTAACTTTTCTCTGTTTATCTCTTCTTACCTTGGGCGGACTTACAGCCATGTAAGGAAGAAACGTGAGGCAGGAGATTATGAGAAAAAAGAAGGAAACCAGGAGAAGTTATTCTAAATCAGCCAACCCCTCTTTTCTCTTAACGGATCTCATTTATTCTCTCAGAGATTTTTGGGAGAAGAGATTTCCTTAACCAGTGTAAACATACCCTTTTACTGTTGGATGAATTTTGTATTTAAAATAAACTGATAAGAACTTTATGTTAAAGCAAAAAATTCAATAAGTAACAATGTTGTAAATAGTATTATATATTCACATCTTAGTATTAAAGCTATGTTTTCTTTTGCCTTGAATTTTGGTCAAATTCAAGAAATTTTAACTTATGATCTTCTAAATACTAAATAAATATGAGATTTTTAATGTTTGTTAACTGTCCTGGTCTTTTGGAATCTTTATACATAAATAGCATTTTTAAAAAATAACTAGAGCTAAATTAGGAAAGAAAAAAATAAGATAACTTTAATGTGGTTTTATTTTTAACAGGTTTGGTTTTCTTTGGAAATTAATGATCAGTCTATTGTTCATTTGATTAAACTGGAATGTGGAATAACAGACATTAAAAATAAAATCCAAGTTATTAGTAAATATGACTTGGCACTGCTTTCTTTTCATTTTCACAAAGTAAAACAAGGAGAGGATGGGTAGGGGAGGGGAGGGAATCTCAACGGAAATATCACTCACGCAAAGAAAAATAGAACTGATGTAATCCTGTTTTGCAGTATGAGTTAACCTGCAACTGATTTTGTTTTACAGATGGTTTTATCATTAGTGTCTGAACTCCGAGAGAATCATCTTAATGGATTTAACACTCAAAGGCGGTAGGTGTTAAACTAAACATCCCCCTTCTTAAGTTTCAAAATGTATCAGTCTGGTTATGAGAGAAAAATTTTATAATTCTTTGAAAATGCATGTTCATAAGTTCAGGTTATATTCTGTATGGAGAGATTATTTATACATGGCAAATTGGTGAGTTTTATGAAACTTTCTTGTTTTTAATCACTATTCTTTCAACTTTTATAGGGCAGTAAATCATGCAACGTCTCTTGTGACCCATTGAGTAAAAATCCCTACATATACAGTAGGGAACACAAACAAAGGAAGGGCTCAGCTCAGAGAGAGAAAGAGTGTGTGTGTGTGTGTCTTATAAATACACACACACACACAAACAGTATTTACAAGGCAACAGATATTTGATATGCACATAAGACTTATTTTAAGAAACATGATATTCCAAAATCTAGACTAAACAAATCAAATAGATTCAGACAAATTAAAAGGCAATTAATCACATTACAAAATGTTCTTCACTATGTGAGAGAATTCAAAGTTGTCTTCATTGGTGAGCATTTCATTTTTTTTTTTTCAAGATGGTATTTATTCATTTGAGAGAGAGAGAGAGAGCGCATGAGCAGGGGGAGGGGCAGAGGCAGAGGGAGAAGCAGAAGCCGTACTGAGAGCTGGGAACCTGACACAGGGGCTCCACCCCAGGACTCAAGGATCATGACCTGAGCCAAAGGCAGACGCTTAACCAACTGAGCCACCCAGGTGCCCTGGTGAGAATTTCATTTTTAACAAATTATTAACTAAGAGAGTCTGGGGACAAGGGACTTTTGTCCTTGGTTTTTGCTTTTTTTTTTTTTAAAGATTTTATTTGAGAAAGAGAGAGAATGAGAGAGAGCTAGAGCACGAGGGGGGGAGGGTCAGAGGAAGCAGCAGACTCCCTGCCGAACAGGGAGCCCGATGTGGGACTCGATCCCGGGACTCCAGGATTATGACCTGAGCCGAAAGCAGTCACTTAACCAACTGAGCCACCCAGGCGCCCTTTTGTTTGTTTTTATAAAGCTAATGTCAGTTAAAACTATCACAGATGGTCTTTGCTCTCAGCCTACATGATCCTTTGCATCTAAACTTTAAACTATAAAACTCTTAAACAAAAACACTGGAGAAAATCTTCATGACATTGATTTGGTAGTGATTTTTTTGGATATGATACCATAAGCACAAGCAACAAAGGAAAAGTAAATAATTGAACTTCATTAAAATTATGAATTTTTATGAATTATAAGATATTATCAAAGCAAAAAGCCTACTGACTGAGTGAAAATATTTGGAAGTCATGTATCCAATAAGGGATTAATACTGAAAGAACTGAAACTCAACAAAAACAAAAAATTCAATTCAAAAATGGGCCAAGAGAGATGTCTTATGTCTGCAAAGATGATACATAACCGGCCAGTAAGCACGTGAAACAGTGTTCAGCATCACCAGTTATTAGGGAAATGCAAATCAAAACCACAGTGGGATATTATGTCACATGTATTAGCCATGATCTATAATTTTTAAAACAAGCAAAAATGGAAAATAATAAATGTTAGCAAGTAAGTTAAGGAAGTAGAACCCTTGTGCATTATTGGTGGGAATGTAACAAACTGTAGTCTTGCTGGTGGGAATGTTAAATGGTACAGCCACTATGGAAAAGTTTGGCAGTTCCTCAAAAAATTAAACATAGTATTACTATAAGACCCAGAAATGCCACTCCTAGGTATATATTCAAAAGAATTGAAAACAGGGACTTGAACAGATATTTGAACACCAGTGTACATAGCAGCATTATTCACAGTAGCCAAAAGGTGGCAACACTCCAAGTTCCCATTAACAAAACATGGAGTGGATAAATAAAAAACATGGTATGTAAATACGACAGAATATTCTTCAGCCATAAAAAGGAATAAAATTTTTATATATGCAAGAACATGGGTGGACCTTGAAAACATCATGCTTAGTGAAAGAAGCCAGACACTGAAGGGCAAATAATGTATGATTCCACTTATATGAAGTACCTAGAAGAGGAAAACTCAGTAGAGACAGACAGCAGAATAGAGGTTAGAGGTAGAGGGAATGGGGTTATTGTTTAATGGGCCCATAGGTTATGTTAGGGGTTAGGGATAATGAAAAGCTTTGGGGATAGATTGTGGTGATGGGTACACAGCATGTGAATGTGTTTAATGCCACTAAATGGTTACCAAGTACAAATAATTAAAAAATAATAACAATTATGTATGTTTTACCACAATTTTAAAAAAGCAAGAAAAAAAACAAACATGATACCAACTGTGTACTCCATCAGATGACTAAAGTTTAAAACACTCACATCAACCTGTGCTGGAGAAGATATGGAACCACTGGATCTCTCATCTGCTGTCTGTGAGAATGTGAAGTGGTATCATTACTTTGGTAGACACACACTTACCATATGATCCACCAACTCCATTCTTGAGTATTTACTCACAGTAAACGAAAACATAGGTAGTCATAAATATTTCTATACAAATATTCATAGCTGCTCAATTTTGTAATAGTTCAAAACCAGAAATGATCCAAAGGACCACCTTAACTGGATGGATAAACAAGTAAGTATTGTCTGTTACCACCATTTAAGAAATGAAAAGACAAGTCATAAACTGAGAGAAAATATTTTCAGATTATGTATCTGATAAAGGGCTCCTACCCAGAATATATAAAGAACTCAGTAATAAGATATAAAGAACTCAGTAATAAGACCACTCAGTTAAAAAAAAAAAATAGGCAAAAGATTGGAAAACATCATCAAAAAATATATACAAATGGCTAATAAGCACATGAATACTTGTATACAGATGTTCATAGCAGCATTATTCATAATAAACAAAAAGTGGAAGCAACCCAAATATCTATCAACTCATGAATGGATAAACAAAATATGTTGTGTCCATACAATAGAATACTATACCTCACTAAGAAAGGAACAATCTACTGATTCATGTGACAACATATGTGAACCTCAAAAACATTATGCTTAGTGGAAGAAGCCAGTCACTGAAGGCCATATATTATATGATTCCATTTTTATAAAATGTCCAGAATAGGTAAATCTATAGAGACAGAGTAGATTAGCTGTTGCTTAAGGCTAAAGGTAGGAACAGGGATTTGCTGCAAATGAGTACAAAAGATCTTGAGGTGATGGAAATGTCCTAAAAGTGGATCATTAGTGGTAATGGCTGTACAACTCAGTAATTTTTTAAAAATCTTTGAATTGAACATTTCAAATAGGTACATTTTGTGGTATATAGGTTATACCTAAAAATTAATAAGAAGAGTCCCTAGGAGGGACATGGAAAGCATTTATAGTCATTTATTTACCTGACATCAGGTAGAGACTTTGGTTTTGCCTTGAGATGAATGTTGAATAATAGAATTAGAAATTTACTTAAATGGACTTAAAACATCAGTAGGATACAATGTATATGTACACCCTTCACCAACAACCCAAACTATGTCAAGTTAACGATTTTTAAAAAACTGAGAATAAACAACAACAAAACAAAAACACTATTAACAAGTGGAAAACATTAGCCAGAGAATTGGAAGATATTTGCAACCATAAAACAGACAAAGGATTAGTATGGGAAGTATAGAAATGCCTCCTGCAAATCAATCATAAAGAGGCAAACACTCCAGTATAGAAATGGGCAAAAAATATAAGGAAGTTATTACTAAAAGAGGAAAGAAGAATAAATAACAAACATTTAAAAAATTCTTCAAGAGTGATGTCAGCATGACAGTAGAATAGGAAGCCCCAGTCCTTGTTTCCATACAGAGACACTGACTTAACAATGGTATATGACCCAAAGAGCCTTTATGAGAACTCCAGAAACCAATTAAGATGTTATAATAGCCCAGGCAAACTCAAAGTTAAAAACAACCATATTGAAATGGGTAAGAAGGCCATTTCATATCAACCACAGTCAGTAGCCCTTCCCCTAAGCTGGCTCAGTGTTGTGAGATTGGGAGGAAAATTCTAGCTTACAGCTTCTCCCTTGATGGGGAAAGAAAAGAATGGAATATGTTCAGTGTTCCTGCCTTGGGGGGGCTGCCTGAGGGACTGGTGTCTCACTTGCCTGATTCTGACCACTCATGGGGAACCAGCATACTTTCAATGCCTGGGGACTGTGGCACATTAGAGAGTCCTCAGCTGCTTTTTTGCAGCACCAGAGAACTGACAGTACTGCAGACGGAGGTAGGCTCAGGGAGAAAACACCGAACTCACAGCTAATGTCTAGGTGGCGTAGGGGGTGGGAAAGAAGACTGGAATATATATCTAATCTTCCAGCTTCTGAAGGGGCTACCTTAGGGATTGGTTTCAGTCTCCCTTGACTTGAAGCAATAACAGAACCAGCATACTTTGGAGGTGAGGAGGCTGCGGAGAACCAAAGAGCTTAGTGGCTTGTTGTTAGCCCCAGAGAACCTGCAGTACCACAGACAAACACCAGAGGGAGAAAGAGATTGCAAACTCCTGAAAAGCTGGCAAGCTCTCTGGGAAATTACATAAACAATCCCAGAGAAGACACATCCCCAGAAAAGATTCAGAGGACCCCCAGACTCTCTCACCAGGTTGATTAGTGAACAGCTTCCCTTGTACAAAGGCAGTCCATAAAGACTGGGAGAAGTGGCTATTTCTTTGGCTGCAGAAAACACAACAAAATATAACAAGGCACACAAAGAAACAGGAAAACATGGCCCAAACAAAGCAACAAAATTAATTTGCACAAACCTACCCTAAAGAAGTGGAGAGCTATGACCTAACTACCTGGCAAAGAATTAAAAATAATCGTCCTAAAGGAGCTCAGTGCACTACAGTAGAATACAGATAAACAACTAAATGAAATCAGAAAAATGACGCATAAACAAAATGAGAATATCAGCAGATAGCAATTATAAAAAAACAACCAAATAGACATTCTGGAGCTGAAGAATACAATAACTGAATTGAAAAATTTAG